GCTTGGCTTGGCTTGGCTTGGCTTGGCTTGGCTTGGCTTGGCTTGGCTTGGCTTGGCTTGGCTTGGCTTGGCTTGTCTTGGCTTGGCTTGCTTGCTTGCTTGCTTGCTTGCTTGGCTTGCTTGCTTGGCTTGGCTTGGCTTGGCTTGGCTTGGCTTGGCTTGGCTTGGCTTTGCTTGGCTTGGCTTGGCTTGGCTTGGCTTGGCTTGGCTTGGCTTGGCTTGGCTTGGCTTGGCTTGGCTTGGCTTGGCTTGGCTTGGCTTGGCTTGGCTTGGCTTGGCTTGGCTTGGCTTGGCTTGGCTTGGCTTGGCTCGGCTCGGCTCGGCTCGGCTCGGCTCGGCTCGGCTCGGCTCGGCTCGGCTCGGCTCGGCTTGGCTTGGCTTGGCTTGGCTTGGCTTGGCTTGGCTTGGCTTGGCTTGGCTGGCTTGGCTTGGCTTGGCCTGGCCTGGCCTGGCTTGGCTTGGCTTGGCTTGGCTTGGCTTGGCTTGGCTTGGCCTGGCCTGGCCTCTGGCCTGGCAGAGCCTGGCCTCTGGCCTGGCCTGGCCTGGCCTGGCCTGGCCTGGCCTGGCCTGGCCTGGCCTGGGCTGGGCTGGGCTGGCCTGGCCTGGCCTGGCCTGGCCTGGCCTGGCCTGGCCTGGCCTGGCCTGGCCTGGCCTGGCCTGGCCTGGGCTGGGCTGGGCTGGGCTGGGCTGGGCTGGGCTGGGCTGGGCTGGGCTTGGCTGGGCTGGGCTGGGCTGGGCTGGGCGCAAGCAAGCAAGCAAGCAAGCAAGCAAGCAAGCAAGCAAGCAAGCAAGCAAGCAAGCAAGCAAGCAAGCAAGCAAGCAAGCAAGCAAGCAGGGAAGCAAGCAGGGAAGCAAGCAGGGAAGCAAGCAGGGAAGCAAGCAGGGAAGCAAGCAGGCAAGCAAGCAGGCAAGCAAGCAAGCAAGCAAGCCAAGCCAAGCCAAGCCAAGCCAAGCCAAGCCAAGCCACTTGCTTGCTTGCTTGCTTGCTTGCTTGCTTGCTTGCTTGCTTGCTTGCTTGCTTGCTTGCTTGCTTGCTTGCTTGCTTGCTTGCTTGCTTGCTTGCTTGCTTGCTTGCTTGCTTGCTTGCTTGCTTGCTTGCTTGCTTGCTTGCTTGCTTGCTTGCTTGCTTTGCTTGCTTGCTTGCTTGCTTTGCTTGCTTGCTTGCTTGCTTGCTTGCTTGCTTGCTTGCTTGCTTGCTTGCTTGCTTGCTTGCTTGCTTGCTTGCTTGCTTGCTTGCTTGCTTGCTTGCTTGCTTGCTTGCTTGCTTGCTCGAGTTGTTTTAGTAATTTAGGTTGTTTTCTCCCTGGAGGGGCAGGAAGGAAACAAAAGAAACACCAAGCTTGTCTTCTTAGTTAGATTCCATTCAAAAGTTTTAATTGTAGTCATACTTGGAAAGGAACTCCTACTAGAAGTCTAACTTCGAATACTAACTTCGATTGCATTCCAATCAAAAGATGAATTAAACTTACAGCATTGCAATTTAACACTTGTAAACCAATAGAACTTAAGCTGCATACCCTTGCGATTCTATTGGTGTTTCACTCCTTTCAAGGGGCAGGAATATTACAAGAAACGACCTGCTTGTCTTTCCACACAAGATGCAATTGAAGGTCAAATTACATTCGAATGCCAAGCACAAATCACGAAAGGAGATACGAAGAGAATTGCAGCTACTCTGGATTGAATAAGCAGCATGTTGCAACCATCCATGTCGAAGACCCCGCTGAGTGATTCAGAACGCGTCGTTACAAACACGCATCAGCAAAGCACGCCAAGATATCAAACCTCAAGATCGCCAGAAAAGAAAAGTGCACTACCAGTGCCCCCCCCCCTCTGATTCTCCGCTCTCTAAACTAGCTGCCCTGTTACAATGCACCCCCGGCCTGCCCCCTTGCCACGCCCAGCGCGTCCGCGGCGCTGTCCAGTTGGGGCCGGCACTTCACGTCCACGTGTTTCAGCAAGCCCGTGGCACCTGGGCCGCACAACACTGAAATTATCAAATTCACATTGGACAATGAAAAAACTCTGAAAAAAACACAAGGCAAAGAAAGGGAACCCCAATTTCAAGAAATGTGCCGTGATACTCAAACCCTCCATCAGGCCCAGAGCTTCTTGAATCAAACCGAAGGGCAAAGCTCCCAACCACAAGAGCAAACCAACAGCAATTGGGGATACCCCGGGCTCCAAAATGGCAACTGGTTCCGTAGTCACGTTTCAACGACAAAGCGAACCTGCAGGGACCCCTCAGTGAGAAACTGGGAATATGGTCTTTGGCTGCAAAGAACCAGGAAAAAAAAATGATCAAACCGAAGAGCAACCTTCTCAACCAGTCGAGGCCTTGTGCATGGCTCCATGAGGAAGAGCGGAGCCCCCCAGGGGCCCAGTTCGTCATGGAGAAAAAGCAGGAAAAAGGATACAAGGGGCCCTCAAGGGGCACGACTAAAACGGGATTTTGTAGCGCTCCCCATTCCCTCCACGGCACACGCGGTCTCCATCTCGTAGGACTCACCACAAAGGGGGTACCACGTCTTCATGTCCAAGGGATCCAGCTTACCCTTGCGCATGCATCTCCTTGCAAAACTGCACTCTCCACTCCACTCCTCTCTCGCTCTCACTCTCCACTCCTCTCCACTCCTCTCCACTCCTCTCCACTCCTCTCCACTCCTCTCCACTCCTCTCCACTCCTCTCCACTCCTCTCCACTCCTCTCTCGCTCTCACTGCACTCCACTCCACTCCTCTCCACTCATTGCACTCATTGCACTCACTCCATTCACTCAACTCACCCAACCCAACCCAACCCAACCCAGCTCGACTGGACTCGACTCAACTCAACTCAACTCAACTCAACTCAACTCCATCACTCCCTCCCTCCCTCCCTCCCTCCCTCCCTCCCCTCCCTCCCTCGCGTGCTCTCAAATCACCCGAGCAGCTGCATCTCTGTTCGGTATTCGCCGCAGTGGCGCTCGAACAACGCGGCGTACCTCGGGTGGCACGAGTTGCCCAAAACGGAACACAACACTTGTAGTAGGTGCCTGGACCAACATAAAAATTGAAACACGGGACCAACTTGTATCTCAGAGAAAAAACATATGAAACTGCCATATAAATATATAATATGATATTTCGGACACCTGGCCTCTGAGGCGGCTGAGACCCTCTGACACTGTCAAACGTCTGTCTTTTCGCCCAAGCAAAACTAACTAACTCGCAGAAAATTGGCCTGGGTCAAAAGGTTTTGAATGAAACTACCAAAAAGGATAATAAACATATCACCTGGACACTGCCATCTCTTTGCTGGCAACGCCATATTGTCAAAAAGGAAACACGGGCGTGTCCGAACATGGGGCCACCTCCACATGGTTGGTATCCCGTGGACTGGAAAACCATTCTACCAAAAGAAGCCAGTTCCAAATTTTAGGTGACGCTCCCCACATATCAAAGCGAATGGCTCAGCCACTTTTGGGAGCCACGACCCCAGCCCATCCCAGCGCGCACAAAAGGCCGCGCCGCTGGCGGCCGTAGCTGTCCAGGCAGTTGGGCGTCGGCGCAGCCCCGCTGACCTGCCGCAGTCCTACCATGGCACTGCACCTGGACCGCCCTGAATCATATAAGGGGCCCAATAACCACTAGTAATCCCCTATCATGACCAAATATGGTTGTACCGCAGCCCACCCCATCCCATTCTGTTTGCTTGGCCCAACACGCGCCTTCTCCCTCCACTGCAGCCCCCACAGCCTTCTTCTTTTTTGGCCCAACCGGCCCGGGCGACCGTTCCTTTCCGACTCTCCGCGTCTCCGCGTCGCCGCGTTTCCGCGTCTCCGCGTCTCCGAGCCTGGAGGCTCCACCAGCGGCTCTGCAAGCTCGCCTTGTTCACCTGCACCGTGGTGGGCACCAGCCTCGCCGGCTGGTCCTGAGGAGTTGTTTTTTTCCCCCGTGCGCGGCGCCGCGTCCGGCCGCCGGTTCCGTCGAGCTCCCAGGGCCGGATGGGTCTGGACACACGATGGGTCAAGAGCCTCCAAAAATAGAAAGGGGTACGTCCCCTCGAGCATGACACCCAAATGCGGGGCACCGTGCAGAAACTCCTTTTAAAGGGTCCCCCGAATCAAACCGGCAGGGACAAACGCACATTCAAGCGGCCGCCAAATGAAAGAACAAGGCGAAAACGTTTGCTGTTACAAACCGGAGTGCTGATATACCTCACGACAGAAGTTGGCCCAACACGGCCTGTCACATACCATCTCAGAGTCACTGCAGGCTTTGAGGGCAACGATCCGCTTCCGACTCGAATCCTGAGTGCCAAAAATAAAGCCATTCCTCCCCATAATCAACTGGGAAAGGCCTCCTGTTCTGCGAGAAGGTGACCCTCAAGCCCCAGAGCAAATACACAGACACCATTGGAAACATGCCCCTCCAAAAGGCAGCTTGCAGACCCAACCTGTTCCAACCCCATAAGCCAGCCCAAACAAATGACCTTCCTTGGAGCCCTTGGAGCTCTCTTGGCCCATGGCGGCGCAAAGCCAAAGCGCGCTCTGGAAGAATTCTGGGAGAAGCGCTTGTGACGTTCGGATGTCTTAAGAGTCTTAACATCAACCGGGATCTGTCCCCGAGTGTGTCGTGTGCCTGTGCACGGGCGTTGCCCCTCTATGAGTTGTCTCGTAGTGCTGCTCGCGTGACGTCCCTCCTAAGCTGAGCAAGCAAAGACGCGACCGCTTCTAAAATAGCAGAACCTAGGTGACGGACATTGCTCGCTCGTCGCGAATCGATGCTGCCTGGTGGTCGTTTCTTTCTCCACATGCTCAAGCGAGCATGGCTTGCAAGCTTCGTTAACTCCATCGGGTGGGAAATGCCCTCGGATTCAAATGGTTTGCGCTTTTCACGCAAACAGTTCGTGGCTACCCTTCCACCAATGGAAGTGCGCAAGGTTGTTTAGAACGACTTCTTTCTTTTTGGGAAGTTGGTGGGAGGGTAACTCATGCAAAGTAATCCTACAAGCCAAAGGCCCTCAGTGTCCTTGGGACCCGAGAGAGAAGACCCCCCGCGCAGCATGGAAGCTTCACGGCCTACCTCCGTCTGTCTAGCTGCTGCAAAAAAGAACGCTTACTACTGGCCCCTGACAAGAAATCCGCCCAAAAAAACAAAGAAGCGACCCGCCACTGGGCAACTGGGCGAATCTCCAGCTGAAAGGCAGCGAGAGTTTTCTTCGGCCGGTGCGCACCGTCTTTCATGCTGACCTTGGGGAGGTCTACCCTCGACACCTAAGGGGCATTTGCCCGTGACACAAGCATAAATTCGCTGATCAGTGACCTTAGGCGAGAGAACCCTCAAGCGGAGGTGTGTCCTGGTTTATCAGTGACCTTAGGCGAGAGAACCCTCAAGCGGAGGTGTGTCCTGGTTTGTCTGAGCAATTTGGCATTATTCAGAACTGCAAATAGGGGAGTCACCAAAATTGGAATCTTCATGGGTAAGCTGGTTTTATCCCGAGGTGTCAGCAACAAATTGCCCAGAGTCATGCCAAAACCCCTGTTTCTCCGAGAAGTTTGCTTCCCAGTTCGGGCGATGGTAAGAATGCAGCTTCCTCGAGGTGCGGCCAGACTTCGAGTTGGACCTCCTCAATTGGACCCTCCAGTGCTTAACTTCCATGGTCCCATCTTCCTGAGGAAAGGGTCAGAAGGCCAACCTGGCCAACCTTCCAGTGGAATTAAATGTTGCGGCATGCAAATGTGCGAAAATCTCGCTGTGGCCGGTTGAGATCCGCCCTTTGGTTCCTTCCCAGGGCGCCCGGCCGCGCGCTTCGCCCACTTCGCCCCGGCACAGGTTCCGCGCCCGCCGCGTGGCGGCGATGCGCCTGCACGCCTCCTCCTGCCGAACTTAGTCACGGGGGGGGGGGGGCTGCCTGCTAGGCGCACATGGCGCGAAGACACTCCTCGGCAGATAGGGCAAATAGGCAGATCCGAGAGCTCAGCTTTATCGGGTCGACCAAGGCTTTGTCACGGGGAACCCCTCCTTCCAAGGCTTGCCAAGGTTCGCTGGGTCTCGGGAGGCACAAAAAGGGGGATCCTGCTCCGCTTAATGGCTGTGAACCGATCAAAGCCAGGAAACCAAGACAAAAACGAAAAAGAACGGTTTTTGCTCCCAATGGTTTGCAGGCCACAGAATATCGAACAAGGCTAAACAAGGCCAAACGCACGGTGTTAAAGGTTGATTCGCAAAGTGCTTGAAAACAGAACCCGATTTGATTCGGTTGCACCAATCACCTCGATCCTGGGCGATGGGTGCGGGAGCTGTGCCTCTTCTGGAAAAAAAATGACGGGAGTGCAAACTGAGCTGAAAGAGGCCCGCCTCTTTGATAGCGTGTTCAGGGCAACCAAAAAAACTGGACAGGAATCACGGCAGGCATTAGCGGGTCCTCTACTCCAGCAACCCAACATCCCAGCATGGCTCTCCTCCTGGTGCTGCTGCTTCCTCAGCATTACCATCTCCTGATGCAAGCGCCACATTCCGACTTCGGCGGGACAATGGGAAACCTTAAGGCCACAATTGCTTAGTCTCGTACGCTTCTGTGCTTTGAGTGGCGATAGTACACATGCCCTTTGATCACATAAAACGAGAGCCTGGACAAAAGCGCGCTGTCACCAACTCGGCGTTTCGGTCTGCCGGTCAGTGAGGCGTGCACCAGAAATTCAAGCAGATTGAGGGCCTTGTCAAATGGATTCCTTGTCCCCATCATATGCACATTTTGGTCAAGCAAGCAGTTATACTCATCATCCAACTGTTCTACTGGCACATTGCCACCGAGGCTGGTGTCGGCCACCAGATAGTTCTGCTTCCTCCCACAAACTCCGACCTTGAACCCGCAGAAACCCCCAGTAGAGAGAGCGTGGCTGCTGTAAATACAAACGTCAAAGGCGAATGCAGTTTTTTTTTTTCCGCAGCAGCCCACAGATACTTGTGTTAGATGCCGTTTTTGCTCATGTGCTTGGCCCTGCCTTGATTGCTAGCCGACCTTGTTCTCCAAAAATATTGGGCTGGGCTGGAGGAGAGCGTCCCCCCTTTGTCCACAACCTTTCCCGGGGCAACTCCTGTTCGAACACTGTTGCTCACTCCCTTGGCCTTCGCCAAAGGAAAACCAACCACCTCAATACCTCACTACCTCATTTCACCTTGTGCGCAGTGGCCAACCGCTCTCCTCAAAACACCATCTACATAACCTCAATCAGTCAGCACAATTCGGGCTGGCATCTGCAAGTTCCCCCCTATACTTCGGTCTCTCTAGGGCCCTCCATTGCAACGCCCGGCGTCCGGCCGAAGGTCGTCCGGCTTCCTGGCGCTCGTCCCAGGACACCGCCCGCGCAGACGAGAAGCCCCGGGAGTCACGCCTAGGAGGTGGCCTCAGGGCATTGGCTTCAAGGACCGGCTCGGGTGAAGGAGAGCGTCGGAGTGAACAAAGAGAATTGTTGATCCAGCGTTGCAAAGACGGTTGGTCAAACAGGCAATCGCGGGTTAAAAGAAACAAAAAGTCGCTCGAAAGGGCACCCAGCTTCTCCAAATGCTAAATATTGAGAATTCCATAGGCTGTGTGAGCGTCGCCGTCCAGCCCCGACAGCGTTTTTGTTTGGCCAATGGACAAGTTCAAGAAACACCTGCGACCTCCAGCTCTATTTTCAGCGTGCAGTACAAGTGCAGTACGCAAAGTATACGAGTGCCTTTCCATAACGAAGGAATTGCGCTTCCTTCCACGGGATAATGTATATTGTATATATTATAAATTATGACATCTCATGTGTTGTGCGAAAACATGTTTCCATAATCGCATCTGGTTGATTGTTGGGTCATGGCTCTTTCTGGCTGGCCTGGTGTGCAGCTACACTTGGGCTTCCCCCCGGACCTGGGCAAAGGCATGCGAAACTTCCAGTTCTTGTTAAATAACAAATCCCGACTACTGATTGGCCTCATTGTTGGCTTTGAGCACTGAGTGATGAATTTACGAGCCGTTGCCCAATCCCTCCTTGGGCGCCCCGGACACTTCGGGCCGCCCGTCGCGCTTCAACCTCTCCTTGCCCGTCGACCAAAGAAAGTGGTTTGGGGGGGGGGAGTCAAACGAGCACATCTCCAGATGGTGATCACCCAAAATGAGCGGCGTTTTGTGGTTTCTCCTTCGATCATCGGGCCGGTGCAAGTCGGCAAGTCAGGATTTGAGCAAAGGGTCGGTGTATGACTGGCCCTTCAACTTCAGTAAGCACACACTTGCGCTCTGCGAAGCTTCCTATATGCAATGATTCGCTGACTCGAGGTAGTTCGAAATAATTAGAATGAACTTGTAGGGCGGTAGTTCCAAATAATTAGAACGAGCTTGTAGGGCGACCCTCAAACCTGATTGGGCAATGATCAGAACAGTCACAAAAGAATGTGTACATCTGCTTGGCCCCACGTGTGTCCAAATGAGGGGGACTCCGAACCTTTTGGAGTTTCTTTGGGTTTCTTTGGACAAAATCCCGATGAGTGTGTCTGAGACACGCCCCTCACGGATCCTGCTCTTCGTGCCGTCGCCGGTCCAACATCTGCTCCACGGACACGGACTGGGCGGAGCCATGCAGCGACCCTCTCCGCGGATCTGAGAAAGGCTTTGTGTAAGTAGGTAGACCCTGGAGTTTTGGAGTTCGCAAAGAGGTGATGCTGCGCCACGAAACCACTTCGCACCACCTAAGAAACCCTTGGATGATGATTCCCCTGTAAATACCAACAAACAGTGGTTTCAAAAGTGGTGCAGGACTTCGCCCATGCGGCGTCCTGGGATAAAACTGGCCGTGTCGAAACCCAGGCCATGCGCCCCGAGCCGCGTCCCCCGAGCCGCGTCGCCCGAGCCATCCGAGCCGCGGGCGCCGCCGAGCCTGAGAAAGTCGGAGGCAGCTCTTGCGACGGCCCGGCAGACCGATCCGGAGGTGTACCCGGATCAAAAGTGAAGGCACCACCTAGTAATCAAATCAATCAGGCTCCTCAGGCTCATAACCATAGGGGTTCCCTACGTTTCAGGTGGTTTCACCTTGAGAATCAGCCAAGGGAAACTCCGTTGAACGCACACCTCCGCCCGGCCACACCCATTCTCAAGGGCGTCTTCCATGCAACGCCACCCATCTTTTATGGCGTGTTCTCAAAATGGTGGACCACATCTTGGTTTTTGACCGAAACCCAGAGGAAACAACCCTTTCTGTTTTGACCGATCCCAATTTTGAGAAACCATCCTGACTCTCGGGAAACCCATGACCCGTTGAGACGCCGGCAGCTCGCAGCCACTCTGCAAGGCCCCGATGTCCACCAGCTCGTGCTGCTCCACACCGTGCAGGCCCTGCACCTTCCGAAGCCAAAGGGCGCGCGGTGCGCAGTATATATATAATATTATATATATATATGTACATTCACACACGAGGAATCAGACAGCCAAAACACAAGCAAGGAAGCAAGCAATCAAACAAACACACGATAGATTTGTTCAATCCTGCCAGCAAAGCATCTGCCTGCGGTCAATCCGGGGTGGCCTGTACAAAGCTAGCCTGCTTCATGAGATAAAAAGAACCCTGCAATTGAGCATGAAGAACAAGCACGTGTGGTCCGGAGGTGCGTATATGCGCGTGTGTGAGTGTGCGTGTGTGAGAGAGACAGGTCGCAGCCAGGTGCACAGGACCCCCTGGGAGGCAAGAAAATGTGTTTCTTCTAGTTTACGTTGTCAAAAAAGTTGTGAAAGAAACTCCTGTAGTATAGAAACTAATTCGCGCAGATAGACGGCTTCAGAAGATCAGATAGCGCGTGCGAAAAGATAGCTCTTATAACTTATAAATAGCTTGCAGAGGATCAGATGGCCTATGTGTGCCTAAAGATGGCGCACACAAATACGTAGCTTCAGAAAGGGTGAAGAAAGAATGGTCGCCTGCGAGAGAACATACGTGGGCGTGCGGCAGGGAAATGGCGGAAAAGAGTGACCCTCTGCGGGTTTTGGAGGGTCTGCGTCGATGTCAACCACCTCTGTTTCGACGCTTGTCTGGCACGGACGCGGCACCACCGGAGCAGCTTCAGAGCGGCTTCGGCGCACGTCACTTTCGCAAGCTCAGGTACAGATTTCGTGGCAGGCGCAGCACAGTCGCGCGTAAAACACGCGAGCCAGAGGACAGCCTGAGGACAGCCTGTACAGCTATGGCCTGCATTGCGTTGAGGCGGCCTTTTGGCCATCGGCTAAGTTCGATTTTGACTCTGCGCGGTCGATGAAGCAAGCAACGAAGCTTTCGTCCACAACCCTGACTAGGCTGGTAGCGGCTGATCATTGTCCACACAGTGGATGAGCTTTGCCTGTGAAGGCGCTGGGGCCAAGTGCGAAGCGCAACTGGCGCCGCAAGTACTTCAAGTCAAAGCGCAGCGATCGGCCTGGCGACCATCTTGCCAGTAGCTAAAAATGCTTCTGGGCCCTACTTTGGGCTTCCCGCAATTAGGTGTCTAGCATGTTCTCGTCTTTGCTTCGCCATGCACCTTGGAACCGCTTTGTCCACCAATCAGAGGAGCGCACACCGTGTCCCTGTTCCGTAGCTAGAGGGAAGACAGCTGTGTGTGTGTGTGATTTGCGTGTGCGCGGCTGGTGTGCGCGTATGGTTGTGTGCGTAGTTTGTCTCTGCGGTGTTTATGTGGGCGGTTTGGGCGTACGTGCGTGCGTGCGTGCGTGCGTGCGTGCGTGCGTGCGTGCGTGCGTGCGTGCGTGCGTGCGTGCGTGCGTGCGTGCGTGCGTGCGTGCGTGCGTGCGCGCGCGCGCGCGTGCGTGCGTGCGTGCGTGCGTGCGTGCGTGCGTGCGTGCGTGCGTGCGTGCGTGCGTGCGTGCGTGCGTGCGTGCGTGCGTGCGTGCGTGCGTGCGTGCGTGCGTGTTGCGTGCGTGCGTGCGTGCGTGCGTGCGTGCGTGCGTGCGTGCGTGCGTGCGTGCGTGCGTGCGTGCGTGCGTGCGTGCGTGCGTGCGTGCGTGCGTGCGTGCGTGCGTGCGTGCGTGCGTGCGTGCGTGCGTGCGTGCGTGCGTGCGTGCGTGCGTGCGTGCGTGCGTGCGTGCGTGCGTGCGTGCGTGCGTGCGTGCGTGCGTGCGTGCGTGCGGGCGTGCGTGCGTGCGTGCGTGCGTGCGTGCGTGCGTGCGTGCGTGCGTGCGTGCGTGCGTGCGTGCGTGCGTGCGTGCGTGCGTGCGTGCGTGCTGGGTGGGCGGGCGGGCGGGCGGGCGGGCGGGCGGGCGGGGCGGGCGGGGGGGCGGGCGGGGCGGGCGGGGCGGGGCGGGTGGGTGGGTGGGTGGGTGGGTGGGTGTGTGGTTTATTTGTGGTGACACGGTTTCTTGGAGCCCGTGCGCAGGCCAGCAAAAACCCATCGCAACCTTTTGAGTTCGAGACACCAAAAAAAAAACAAAAGCCATCGGAGCCTTTCGGACCATGCAAACTAACCCTGGGGGGGAGGGGGGGATGGTCACAGCCAGGGCCCAAGAGCGTATAGTAGAGCTAGATGGCCGAAAAACCGCCATGCACCCCGCAGTCGGTGGGATCCTTTTCACAAGATTGTGCCAACGCAGAACGACCGCTTTCGCATCGATTTGTCTTCGGTTCCTCCCGAACACACTTTCTTGTCCTTGGTGATCGTTTTGGCAACACCCCGTCTTGAAAATTCCACGCGCAGGCCAAACGAAACAGCGGTGTTACACCGGGCTCCAAGAAGCCGTGTTACCTTGTTTGTGTGTGGTTTGTGTTTGTTTGCTTGTTTGTTTGTTTGCTTGCTTGCTTGCTTGCTCGCTCGCTGGCTGCCTGGCTGGCTTGCTTGCTTGCTTGCTCGCTTGCTTGCCTGCTTGTTTGTTCGCTTAAGTTGATTTCGTTTGGTGTTGGCTTGGTTTGGCTTGTTTGCTTGTTTGTGTGTGTGTGGTGGATTGAACAATCCTTGTAGTGTAGAGCAGCCATCGGTGGGGCGGAGCAACACCCATATTCAACATATCCCGAGGGGCACGCGTTTCAAACGGCCAGGTTCTTCAAATCTGCAGCCCTTTTAATATGTCGTCATGGGAGAGCACCAACAGCTGAGCCCAAACGCATGTCACCCGAGCCAAAAGACCTTTGCCGACTTTTGAAAAGGCTAGCTCTAGTTCCTGGCGCTTTGCACGACAAACGGCAAAGCGGACCTGCCACTGCCCAGTGGCCTTGTGCTTGGCCATCGGCAGGGCAGGGTTGCCTTACGGCACAAGGCGGGAAAAACTTCCACGGCCCAGTCCCCACACTTGAAAAAACGGGGCGGCGTTCTAAGGGCGTTCAATGGGAAATCTAAGGAAATAACTTCTTCAGCACCTATATATAAAAGCCAGCGAAGGCAGTGGGCGGACGCTTCACAAAACATAAAGAAAATATAGACATTGCTATCGTTGTTTGTGCGTTCTGTTGTATTTAGTCTTTCTGTGTTTGTGTGTTTTATTTCTTTAGTTATTTATCTTTGTTGAATTTATGTCTTGCTTTCTGTCTTTAGTTGTTCTTTCTTTCTTTTATTGTCTTCGTGTTTAATTTATTTATTTCTTTCTTACTTTCTGCATTTCTTTATTTCCTTCTTTTATGTCTTTGTTGCCTCTTTATGTCCTTCCTTCGTTCCTTCCTTCCTTCTTGCGTTCTTTCTTTCTTTATGTTTTTCTTTGAGTCTTTCTGTTCTGTTATGTTATGTTATTTATGTCGTTTATGCTATTGATGTTATTTACTTATGTTTTTCATTGATTTCGTCTTTTTGTTGTTCTTTATTTCTTTATTGTCTAACTTATTTCTTTATCTATTTATGTGTTTCCGCCCTTCTTTACTTTTTCTTCTTTCCGTTCTTTCTTTTCTGGTTATGTGTGTTTATGGCGTTGTTTGTTTATTTTACGTCTGTCTGGTCTTTCTTGTTATTCATTGCTTTGCTTCTTCCTTTCTTTCTCTTCTTTCTTGCTCTTTTTTTTGGTCTTTCTTGTTCTTTCCTTCCTTTTCGTTTCTTCCTTCCTTCCTTTCTGGCGCTTTATGTTCTTGTTCTTTCTCTCTTTCTCTTTCTTAGTATGTGAATTGTTGCTGTTGCCGCAAAGCTCAAGCACTAAACGCTCCGGAGCCTGAACCGTCTCAGTATGTCGTATGTCCTTCAACTGTTGCAAGAGAACAACCCTGACAACCAGCTAGCTAGCTATCCATGAAGCCATGTATTTGTCTGACCGAAGCGGTGCAACCCAACGATCTTCACAACATGCAAGCTAGTAAATGTGTCTACTATCTCATCCAGCAACCTCTGTAATCTGTGTGGCTCACTTCGCATACGTCCGTGTTCCTATCTAGTCTCGCTTAATTTCTATCTACCGATTTATCTCTTTTTATCAATGTATCCGGGCGGGCGCGCGCAAAGCGCTCGTCGCGGGCGAGCGGGCGCGCGGGCGGGCCGGCGCACAGGCGAGCGCACGTGCGGCGCACGGCTCGCACGGACGTGGCTTGATTGCTATTGACTTTTCCGATGGATCTCACTTTGTACATCTCTCTCTCTCTCTTCCTATCTATCTATCTATCGATCTATGTATCTATCTATCTATCTATCTATCTATCTATCTGTCTGTCTATCTATCCATCTATCTATCTGCCTGTCTATCTCTGCATCCATCTCTGTATCTAGCTGCTCTATCTCTTCAATATCTCTATTGTTCTGTCGTTCTGTCTTTCTTTCTTTCCTTCTGTCTTTCTTTTCCTTCTACCCATCTATCTATCTAATTGTCCATCTATCTATATCCCAAAATTGGGGGGCACCCAACAATGTCCACGTGGGTGAACCCGCCCCTGCTTCTGACTGGGAGCTCAAAAGAACCGCAGCTTCGAATGCGCTTGGGAGAGTTGAGCAATGGACTTGACATTTCAATGGTATGTGGCTCGTTTGGGGAGGATGAGCAGGGTTGCAGAAGGGATGAGACAAGTCCCCCTTCCTCCAAGCAATGGGCTAGTGTTCCCCTTGAAAAGCATCCACCCAGAAGCGTCCCTCCCCAATTGCATGAAATTTGCTCATCGCTGGAAGTCAACAGTCCGCTACTCTTGCAGGTAGCCCCTAAACTCATTCCAAGGTCTCAGCCCAACCAGCGAACCTGTGGTTGGCTCTTGCTGACCCCAATTCGCCAATGGCGCAACGCAACTAACCCAAAAGGAAAGCCCGGCCATCGCTTGTTTCCAGCCACCTGGGGACCGGGCTGTCTAGCATGCGGCGCGCGGCGATCTTCAGGGCGACGCTCCCTGGGTGCGGCCCAGTTCCGGGTCAAAGTGGGTCCGACCATCTTTCGATTGCTCCAATCACCTTCCTGGCACAAGTTTGCCTCGGAGCTCGCCTGTCTTCGGGTCACGAGCTGCTTAACGTGTGCAAAGCCGAGAAACAATGGACTTGAAAGCGCACGTCATGTTCCACCACCACACGAGGAAGAGCTCGACCCCAGCCACCCCCCTTTCCAGCCAGGCGGCGCTTCGGCCCCTTCGCCTGGGCGAAACTCACCCGCGAACCCCCGGCCCAAGTCCTCTGATGTTTGCTAAACCCCCCTCAGGACATGTTTCACAACGGTACATCTGCCAATGGCCAATGATATCAATGAATACCCATATGCTTTACCCTGATTCCCTGAAAGGCGGCATGGTCACAAAGGTAGCACCTCTGTCATAAGAGACCTGCGGCCAACCACAACAAATCCGCGCAAGATTGCGTCCTCTCTCCCAGACAACACGCAGTGCACAAGTCAGCTACCTTCCCTTTCCGGAAAGGGACGCCGTCTTCCAAAGTTCGTTGCCGCACAAAATGAAGAAAGCATCCGGACTTTCAGCCTGCGGCTATAGTCGCCAGCGCCAATTTCATCAACCCGTCAATGGCGGGCGCTTCCTTTTCGGCTTCCCCTCAAACACCCATCCCAGTCCATAAACAAACGGGGGGGGTAGGGCTCATGGGGATTGGCGCGAAGCCTCAGATCCTGCAGAGCGGCACACTTGGCGCGCTTCACCTCGTCGTCGCTGTCGTCCGGCTCCACCTGGCTTTGAGGCCCCGAGGCTCCGAAGCAAAAGGGCCGAAGGGCCTTCCACCGGTGCCAAGGAAAGCCAAACGAACAACCCCTGTCATTTGGGGTCCCTCCATTTTCACATGGATTCATGTGGGTATGGATGAAGCATGTCCACCAACCAGTCTTGGAGGGTGTTCCAACTATTGGCAGCCCTCTGGTCACTTGCGCCATGGGCATCCCGCGCGCAGCTTTCTTCCTCCAGACATAGCTCACTCCTCTTTCTCGCGATCCTCCGCGGGCAGCAGGTTGCCTCGGGATGCACCATCATCCGCAGCAAGAAACGGATGACGCTGCGCCAGAAAAGATCAAACTTCCATGTGGGTTGGTAGTGGTGGCGACCTTGCCACGGGCTTGCTGTGTACGTGTTCCAGATAAAATCCGTTGCGTTTACTCACAAACCACACCATGGCTCATTTCCAGCAGCCAGGCGCGAAATGAGATGGTGATGGCTCCAATTCTATAAGGACGCCAGGAGCCAGCGCGCACTGGGTTGCGGGAAGTGACCCTTACTGTGCTACCAAAGAAGGTCATACCCGTGACTAGTTCGCGAGTTGCGACGGGTTCGTTTGGCATCCTGGGCGCACACACACACACACACACACACACACACACACCCTGTCGGACGAGGCCCGGCAAATTCTTCGTTGAGTGCATGTCCTGCTTCCAACGGCCGCTTGCCCTTTCAACGAGCCCAGAGGCACGCCGATCCCAGACGCGGCCAGCGTGTGCTGCCATATCCGATCCGAGGAGCTCAAGTCGGGCTTGGGCATGGGCTTCTCCTCCACCCCCTCCTAAGCGCGCAGAGGGCAGTGCTCCAACCACCCCTCAATTTGCCAACCGCAGGATCCGCTGTTCAGGCTGAGTCCAAGAGCCGACGCCGGGCCAACCCCGGCAAAACGACATCTACCCGACACTGGAGAGCAGGCCCATCTAGTCTGAAGAAGCTTGACTCAATGCAGGCTCTCGGATCCTTGTTTGAGATGCATCAGTTGCGGGGGTTGGGAGTGGCATATACTTGCCCACTTCGTAGCTGCTAGCCAACCCTCCCTTCCACCCCGGCAGCAGGGGAAACAAGACTTGAGAAAACCATGTCCCTAGTTTCCCCCGACTGACTTCTTCCAGGTCACTTGCCACAAATGGGTCACCCGTGAACCGCAGAGCATGGGGCTGCTTCAGGACCCTGACACGCGCTCAACGCGGCAGGCCTCCAGCTCAAACTTCGTCGGCTCAGACCAGTCCTCGTCCTGGCGTCGCCACACGCTTCGCCCGGGTCTGCCTCAAAGATGGAGAGAGTCTCTCAGGGTGGTGTCCAAGTAGTTGTCCTTCTATGAAACAAAAAAAGGTGTTTGGCCAAGAAACACATGCAAAGGGTGGTGAAACTGAGGCCATTCGGCTGGCTCACTGGATAAACCAGAAAAGCTATTCGTGCCACACCGACTCATACGGCGAACATGTTTTTTAGGGGAGGGGATTGGCGAAACAGGTGAACCCTTGAGCAACCCCCCCTCAATGGCGGCACAAAATGACACGCGTGGCAATGGCACCAATTCCGGCAACGGCCCAAAGCGAGGGTTCACAGGGGCAATGGCACCAAAGGGCGCGACTTCACAAGGATCTGGAGGCTAGCAAACTGCATTGGCACCTATATATTCATAGTATGGACCATCCTGCACATCCCTCCATCTACTGAGATTGGGCTTTGGCCCGCCTGCCGTTTTTGGGGCTACCAGCAACCTGCAACCACAGCAAGGCTCCTCCTCCTTCATCCGAATCTGAGTCTCCATTTGTGGCTTCTCGCCTAACGACGCTTTTGGGTGGCCCAATGGCCACATGTTTGGCTGATTCCCTGCCAAGATGGGGAGGTGGCCAAACAAATGTGGCACCCATGTTTACATGGTGTTTGAACGAAAGCCAGCAGGAACTCCTGGAGCAAGGGAATTCCCGTGAACAACCCCCACGCCGGGAATCTGCTTCCGCCACGAAGAAAACTTCATTCTCAGACGGGATAGAACTAGCTCAATTGGGAGTTCTGGGGCGTCCTGACGCCCATCTCTTTCAAACAATCAATCAAAACTAAAAGCCAAACATCCATGACTCTCAGCGTGGGTGTGGAACATAACCGTCGTGACAACCAAATGGACCTCCCCAGATTGACATGGAACCTGAAAACCCTCAGTTCATAGAGCAATCGGAATTTGGGGTCCCATGCCAACGGCAAGGACCACGTTAAAAGGGTATCACAGAAGGTGGGCCGAGAGCGCCAACTTTCCCACAGCTATGACTCTAATTCTAGTCCAGCCCATTTCTTCCGCCAAAAACATAGCAAAGGTTCCGGCCACCTTGAGCCAAACACCTTCCCTTTCCAAAACAGAACGGGCAGGAACCCCCGGCGCCATATCTTTCCACCCGGCCCGGGCCTGTGCGCGGTCGCGCGAGTTGCGAACAAGCGCACGCCTTGACACGCGCCCCATCTGCTGGTCTTCAAGACTCCCCAAATCCCCGCCTTTCAGAAGCCGCACCTTGATGTCCCCCACTACCTCCGGCGGGGGACCGAAGGAGGGCCCGTACCACGGACCTTCCCCCGCCTGAGCAGTGCGTCTGTGTAGTTCCATTGTCTCGCGCAAGTTGGAAGAACTAGCAAAAAAGACATGCGGCTCATTGTGTTCCATTTGTCCTCATGAATACGACACGTCTAAAAAACCCAAATCGAGCAGGTTGTCAGCCCAAAACCGCCTGCAGCCAGCCCGAGTTCCCGACCAGGTTTGGGATCCTCACCTTTTTGCGAAACAAACCTTTGAGCCTACGTCAAGCCCCTGGATGTCAGCAAAAAACAACTGCGACCCTGCAGGCCACCTCTGCACGGGGAAGTGCCTTTTTGACTGGTTGAGTTGCCACCCTCTTTTTGTCAGAAAAGCCATATGTTGCATGTTTCCCCAGCTGAAAGCAAAACCAGGTAAAATCCGGGGTGGTCTGGAGTGGCAAAGGCCGGATTCCTGAGGGTTCGAGGCAGGGTTCTAAATGGGGCTTTGAAGTGGTTCGGCTGGAGTTCCGGAGGGGTTCCCGGCGTTGCTGTTGCTGATACCCCTGGCTTGTTGCTCGCTTGTTTCACTTAAATTGAAAAACTAGAGAATGGCAAATGGGGCCGAAAATCCCGGAAACGGACACGAGATGGGCTGGAAGACCACAAGACTACGAAACGGGAGCCCAGTGTGTGCTTTGTAGCTGGTTTGAAAGTGGAAAACTCTGATTGTTTGACATATCTCTAACTAATTCGGGAAACAATGAAGAATAACGACCAATTCGTCTTGTAGTCTTCCTGTAGTCTTTGTGTAGTTTTTGAGTCTTCCAACCCATTCCGTTTCCGGGCATTTTGGGACTAGAAGCAAAAGGTCCCAAAATGCCCGGAAACGGAATGGGTTGGAAGACTCAAAAACTACACAAACACTACAGGAAGACTACAAGACGAATTGGTCGCATAATTATGATTATTCAAACCGTTTCTCACCAAACGAGCAATTTTAACCAGCGAGGGAGTGGCCTTTTCCTGAAAAACACCCTTTTTGCCATTGGCAACTCACCAACACACCAACACTTCCAAGCTAGTTTCTGTGCGAAACACCCACGTGACGTTACATATATGGGTCTAAATTTTCATTGGGGACCCTTTGGTGGACAGCAGTTAGGTGGGGATTCATCTTTAAAGTGGTTCCCTAATGAAATTCATAGCCATATATCGCATATATTCTCTCATAGCCAGATCCACCTCTCGGCCCCGCCTGCAACAGCACGAGGGTGCCCTGCCGCGATCATCACAGCCCCTCCCCAGCCCCGGCAATGTCTGGGAGCCCCGGAACCGGAGCTCACGGAGCCGATCTTGCCGAGCCCGTAGCTTTCGGCCGGGCAGAAAGGCGAGTCCAACAGGTGAGATGGAAAAAGACGAAAGCGGGGAGTATATGGAATCTACGTCGATTCCTCTGGTCACCTCGAACATGGTGCTAAAACAGCTGATTTGCTTCTGTGACAACCCTCCTTGTATTTCAATTTAGGTTTGGTTCATTGATTTCCAGAAAAAAGCCATTGAAGCCTTCCTTTCTTGGCACAGTTCGCGAATAAGCCCCTGCAATAGGGATGGGTGCCCCATTTTCGCGAGGACCGCCCACTGGATGTTCCTTCATTTGGGGTGAACATGAACTCAGTGGTCGCGTCAACTTTTGTAGCCACCAACAAAACACCAAATCATGGCAGTGTTTACTCCCTTTTCTTTTATATAACTCTACCCCAGAATGTGCCCCTGTAAAAGGTCGCCCTTTCTGCAACACGAAATCTAAACTCCCTGGCCTGATGACTACTTTGACTACTTTATCACTTTCAACCCATGGGTACTAGGTGGCCCCGAGCCGCAGTTCCGCGTGACTCCTCCTGTCTCCTACTCGGCAAAAAGAACATGTCACAGCCTTCCGGTTCACCAAAACATGCCATCCATCTTGAGCCAAATAGCCTCCCACAAATCAGGGAGGTGTCCACGATTGTTGGAGGGTACCCTCCTTTTCCCCAACTTTGACCTGAACAAAATGCGTTCCCTGCTTTTGTTTGCTGACCCCAGGCCTGCCAAAGGCCCTCCTCCTCCGTCGCATCCAGCCACCCGTGCACACGCTCCCCCTCCGGCAGCGGCTCCTCAGCCGTCCCGCCCGCTTGTGGCCCCGCAGGGTTCCATGCGAAGGTGCCCTCACAAAGAAAGGAGTCCCGAGTCCCCAGTCTTGACCCCTTCCATGGAAGAAGCTCTTATTCACACGGCTCAAAATGAAGGAGCTAGGGCTACGCAGGTGTTGGTCTTCGTTTCCATTTACCCCGGTTCCATTTTGGTTACCAACGTTTGAGCCACAGCAACATGCAACTGTTTGGATTTGAGGTGTGTCAGCCAAAATCAGAAACGGACCGTTTTGCAACCACTGAGCTCCGGGTTTTGGGCTACCGAACTCCAAACGGATTCAAGCCAGCTGAAAACGACTGGTATGCCAAAACGGAAAAAGAAATGAAGGAAATGTGGGAGGCGAAAGGAGGCCGAACCCAAACCTTGAAACACAGGCCCCCCAAGTGTGCAACACCGCCCCTGCACCCAAGTGCCTCTTCAATATCCCTATCCGCTGGAAAACAGCACCCTGTCCACTACGCCAGTTTGACTTTCAAGATCAAGTTGGAGCCCCTGAAGAATCCTAGCTGGGTTGTAAGAATTACCCACTTCTGTAACGGGAGGCCTTCCAAATTACTATATAATTCTCCATTTCAAGGGGATTTGGTAAAAAAACCTGATTCACCATCTTCCCAAGCCTGAAGCCATCCAGAAGACTTCGGGCGAAGTCCGGGGACCCCGCCGTGTAGGACAGGCGCGCGGTCACCGGGTCCTTGCCGATGGAGCACTTCCCCTTCTCCGACTTCCAGGACCCATGCAGGGCCTCACCTCGCCATCTCGTGGCCAAGCGGAGTTGGGGTGGGGACAAAAACGTCCGCGGCAAGGTCTTCTGGCCAAGGGCATTCGGAAAGGAAACAAATGGACGACTTTGAGCGGGTGATTCCTGTTGCTTCATTGATTCCATTAAGATTTTATCTTTAGGAGTTCTTTAAAAATTAAACTCCACAGTAGCATGGCTTTCTGGAATCCATGAATGACAGGGCCACAATTAAAGATCCTTTTCTCAGAGTGCCCTTGTACAATGCAAATGCTTTACAATGCCTGTTTGAGACTGCCATGGAGGTCAGACATGCTGCGTCTTGCTGCTTTTTCAAAGCAAATCAAAAGACCCGAGACCATGAATCTGCCTTGTGAAACCATGGCAAAACATTGACCAAAAATCCACGTTGGACAAGAAAAAAGTCTTGGGCGGTGAATGATGGCAATTGAAGTTGATTGGCAGTTGGGGGTAAGCCAAGTCAAATCCGAGTAATATCCAAGAAACATTCCCGACTCTCCCCCCCCCCTTCGCCTTGATCCGAAGTCTGGGACTTTGGCAGCTGCTGCCTCAGTAGAATGAGAGAATAAGGCAGCAGTAGCAGTAGCAGTAGCCTGAGCTGGACCCTGCGCACACACAACACACTTTCTCACACACACACACCCCTTTTTACCATCGCATTGCTGTCGCCTTTCCGGCTAGAACTTAACGAAGGAGGCGCCGCCGGAGGTCCTGGCCGCGCCGGCTCGAGCTCTGACCTTGCTTCAGCGAAATTTCCTGGTGGCCGAAACGGGCGCCAAAAGGGCTCAGGATCTAGCGGAGCATTTCCATGAACGGCGAGGCCTGCATGACGCGCGCAAGCCTTGCAGGTGAGGGACCCGCAGCGTTTGGATTCCCAGTGTCCACTTTGGTAGAAAGGAAGGCCAAAGGCCCCCCTACCGCTCCCCAGAAAATATCCGAAGGTAGAGTTAAGAAGTTCTGGGAAGGATTCTGAAAGCCCATCTGCGAGGCACAAGAGACACAGAGAGGCAAACACAGACTCACCAACAAATAAACACCGCCATCTTTAACGCCACCGGCACTGGCAAAGATACAGTCACAAACACACAAACACAAACACACACACACACACACACACACACACACACACACACACACACACACACACACACACACACACACACACACACACACACACACACACACACACACACACACACACACACACACACACCACACACACACACACACACACGCACACACACACACACACACACACACGCGCGCACGCGCACGCGCACGCACACGCGCACGCGCACGCACACGCGCACGCCGCGCACGCGCACGCACACGCACACGCACACGCACACGCACACGCGCACGCCCACGCGCACGCGCACGCCGCACGCGCACGCGCACGCGCACGCGCACGCACACGCACACGCGCACGCACACATGCACACATGCACACACGCACACGCGCACGCACACGCACACGCACACGCACACGCGAACGCACACGCACACGCACGCACCCACACGCACGCACGCACCCACACACACACACACAGACACACAACACGCACACACAGACACACACACATGCATGGTCCCCCATGCCACATGGACACGCAACCCAGCAACGGCGCAAGGCGGTGAAATGCGCGGCGCCTGGCCTGTGTGCGGCGCTCCTCCTCCGCACCTTCCATCCGCATCAATTCCGCGGTTTTGATGCGGACGGCGGAAAGGTTCCTCACCCGCAAGGCTTGCATGCGCGTCATGCTGGCCTCGCCGTTCATGGGCCACCAAGAAATTTTGCTAGAGCAAGGTCAGCGCTCGAGCCGCCGGGCCAGAACCCGCCGCGGGTGGGGTCCAGCACCTCCTTCACTGATTCCGCTGCCAGGGGCGCTGGCAGGGGCACTGGCAGGCGCTGGCCCGGCGTGCGGCGCTCCCACCAACGCCCGCAGGGCACAGGCCGGTGGAAGGCATGGCTGGACAGAATGATCAACGATTCCCTTGCTGAGCCCAAATGCCTCCAAGCAGCTTGCAGTGGGTCATTGGGTGAAAGAATCAAGACCCGCGCAAGCCGGCAAACAAAGACTTGCTTCCAGCCCCTCGACGCTAGCGCTTCCTCAGTCTCAACACACTCTGCACCAAAGTGGAAATTGTGGCTGTCCAAATGCTCACCATGCCTACAAGCCTCTCAACAACCTTGCGCACAAAACTCCCATGCCCACAAAAGCCATCGGACATCCCCCTATTCCTCATTTCGCTGCTGCTCACTTGTTTTGCATTGTGTAGCTTAAGGGATGTGTCTGTACAGCCGCGCAAGCACATAGAAGTCTGTCGACTTGCTCCAAAGACCCCGAAGACGTCGAACGAAATGATGAGACGCTCCCCCCCTCCTCCAGAATTCCAGGGTTTCAAAGGGGCCGAAACATATCTGTCAACTCCTGCAAATTGCCGTGGCTCGCGCCATCCAAACGGCTGTCAAAACTCGGGAACGCAGCCATTGGTTGGCTTCGTGTCTGCTGCTTTGGTTGCCTTTCAATACTAGGGGCTCAATACTAGGGGCTCAAAAACGTGGTGAGACCCTGAGGCTAATATCGCCTAGCATGGAATTGAGCCCGCTCAGCACGGCATATTCTAGGTATTTGATGTGGCATTGTGTTGAATAAGTTATGTGCTTTAGTCTAGTGTGACAGTATTCAAAACACTTCAAGTAACTGTGGAAGAAATATGTTGTACAACATCTTGAGGTTGGCTGGCTGGCATCCCAACGCCATTCCGATTTTCGCACCTCTGCCCACGGTGCCAGAGGGAAGTGTGACCACCCCTATCCCTCCATCAGTCCATCCGAGGCGCACTGCGCGAGCCTCCGAAGCGCCGCCGCCGCCCCCCCGCTTCATCGCGGACGCGGATCCGGCCCACAAGGCTTTACCGAACTCGTAGAAATTGGTGAGTTTTCACTCATGCAGGGCTTGGGAATGCGAGGCTTGGGAATGCGAGAGAACGCTCCAAAAGCCCCAGCCTGGCTCAAAGCATGCTATACATGTTAGCCGTGGGCAAGGAGCGCATGAACCATGCTTGACATGCTGCTTGAGCATTCTGCTCATGTCTCAGTATGCTTGGCATGTCTCTTCGCTGTCATGTTTGTGCTGGCTTTTGCAAAAAAAAAAAAAACGCAACACCAACAACACCCATTCGATTTATTTTCTCCAGGTCTTCTGAATTGAGCGCTACGCGGCCGCGGTACAGATTCGAAGCCCAGGGGCTTGAGTCTCGAGCGCGCGAAGTCACGTTCAGGAGATACGCCCGAGCTAGTCGGCTTTCAATCACGTCATTTGCGTCTTGTAGGGAAGTCGAGCCATGCACAAATCACTCGAAAACTCGCGTCATTTGCTCAAATCACCAATGGGCTGTCATAATGCGCCTACTGACTGGCGCTGAGTTGACCCTTGGCTAAAGAGATGAACCAAAGACTTAGAGAGCAAAAGTTCATCTTTCCAGATAAGACTAAACCGTGAAGCGGCTTGAGGAACCGTTTCCCTCTTAGACACAAGTTGCACTCAAGATCCCAAGATCTAAGCCACACCCCGCGCCTGCCGAGTTTTCGAGAGTGCTGGCACAGAACGCGACTGGCAAGGGCCGATGTCGGGGAGGACACAAAGCAGTTTTGCGCTCAAACTGGACATCCTCCCGCGACCTGCAAATTGGGCGGGACATGGAATAGTCAAAACGTCAGACGCAGAGCCCCGCATGCGACAGGCTGAATGTATGGATCTATGGATGCATGGCCAAGGGGCCCTTTGGTTGCCGCATCAAACGACCTCCAAACCCACTCCCCACGCAAAACTCAGCACCAAAACATGCTGCGCTCTACGCCTTGAAAGCTGGCCCTCTCCCAAGCCGGTATGCTCTCTCTTCAAGACCAGTTGCTGTCCTTTTGCTCTCAAAGCAAACCAAACCGAAGCTAAACCTCAAATCGGTGGAGCCCAACCTTTTCCCCTTCTCCCCAAACCAAACACGTCCAGGAGGACCCATGGTTGCAAAACAAGCATGTGGGCACATTCTTCTTTTGAGGGTAACCCTATTGGTACCCGCGAACTTGGGCACGTCATGTTTGGCAGCCATGCCGTTAGCGGTTAGCAACAGACCGCCTTGCTGAGCACGGCTCCCCGCGCCGTCGCCGGCGCCGGGGCCTCACCTGAGCGCAGAGGCACTGAGTCACCATCATCGGTTTCTGCCGAAACAGTGTGGGTGTGTTTATCGTTTTAAGAGCCCCCAAAAAACTGTGATTTCCCTTTTGGCTTCCCTTTGAAGCCACCCAGAAGGGATACCCTGAAGAAAAGACACACCCATGTATACACACCCAGGTGCCTGTCATGGTTCGCATTCTCGAAAGGGAGAAATGGTCTGTTGAATACCTTGATTTACCGCCTCCTCTGACCTGGACGAGCCAAGCTTTACAAACACGAAGCTTCGAATCCCGAGAATCTTTATTGGCAAGGCTCCCTGACGATGTTGATGATGATGATGATAATGATGATGATGATGATGGACCAAGTCGTTGGACCCTAGGCCCTAGGACCCAATGGGGAAACCGTACACGTTGCACACCCAATAGCCCGGGATACCGAACAAATGTTCATCACTGCCATGAGGTCCTCAACTTTGGCTTCACGGAAGTGCGCGTCATTCCCACGACCCTGGCCAAACCACCCAAACAAATAACCTCCCGCCACTGTTGCATCATTTCTGCCGGCCCAACCCGGCCTGCAGTCTCTTTGGACTCGTTCGTCAAGATCTGTACAGGCCGTGCACGGAGGAGCCTGGCAGGGCATGTTTGCAGGGACGGAGGGGCACTGGATGCGTGCTGATTCTCAGCGTTGATTCTCTCAACCAGCTGTGAGTGGATCATCATTGGAGCCCATGATGATGCTCTGGTTTGAAGCATGGCTTGCGCTTTGACTTCCAAAGGAATTGGCATGTGTCCCCTTCATCAGAAAAAAGATGACTCATCGGAACAAAACTGACTTTGAGTTGTCCCAAAACGGGACGCGTGGATCCAGGAATGCCTCCTATTACAGTGTGACACACACACACACACCCTGCGTGCGCTTGCGAGGGATTACTCTCTGAGGGATCTTGTTTTTTTTTTTTTTTGGGGGGGGGGGTGTTTTTTTTACATGGGTACGGCATGTGTCTGAACGATAAACGCGTTCTGGCACCGTTCTACAGGCTTGGGAGGGCTTCTAGTTTGACGTGAAAACAAACATGTGCGTTTGGTTCCTGGAAGTTGGGATGTGGACACCTACAAAGTGTTGTTCGGGATCCTTTGTCGTCCCCTTCAACACCATACACAAGCCAAACAAGACGCTCTCCCAGAGACGAAGAGGCGCTCTGATTCATGCTGAGCCGTGGCTCAAAACTTCCGATTCCTCTCATGAACCAACGGCATCCACAAGGTGCATGCCCAGCAAAAATGAGGTAGCCCCAAGTAGGCAATCCTCATGGGACCCGGGGTTGTACCTTTGATCGGCAAACTTGCCATGAGGGCGGAAGAAATCCTGCTTGATCCTCTTCTAATTTTGCGGCCAATATGAGGACCTCTGTCCTCTTTTGATTCTCCCAAACTTGTTCTTAAGCGGCCGTGAGGATCTTTCCAGCACCTTCTAGTCACCCTACAAACAAACGTGGAACTGACCGACCCTTAGAGGGATCAAAGGCGCGGGTTTCCAGTTGGGTTCCAGGTGCACTTCCATGGGAAAGAAGGCGGGTAGCTTGCATGACTGAGCGACACCACGTGTTTGTAGGGTCAGGGAAACACTTGTTTCAGTCAAGAGAGA